TACTACAGGATGATTTCTCTGTATAGAAATAATACATTGTCCCATGGATGTAAAAGGAAAATTTTGGAATTGCAAATGTGAGGATGAAGGGGGTGTTTATTTTCCTACTCACTACTCATTTTATATGTGAAAAGAACCCAGACTCTAAAATCAGGAACTGCCCTGTAAAGACTGCGTAAATGCCTGGAGCACAGGAGCAGGGGCAGCACTCAGAAGGATGTACATTGAGCACAAAGCTTAAAACTTGTTAGTCTGAACGTGAAGGAATGTAAAAGCACAAGTCAGGCAGTTTCTCTTCTTTTTGGTTTAAAAATCCCCACTCCCCAACTACGCTGCTGACTCTGATTCAGTGCTTTAAGCAAAGGGGACCTGAAGATGTGGGAGAAGGGCCATCACTCCTTGAGTGAAATAATAATGTATTTGTGCTTTGACCTCCAACCCCATGTCTGAGATTAAAAGGGTGAGCATTCACTTTTTCATCTTCTGCCTTCCTCCCTCTACCTGAGATGAGAAGACACCATCTGTTTTTAAAGTCAATAAATTATTCCAGTTTTCTACTAACAAAGTTTTTGGGGTTTTTTTTGTGGAAACACCTCAACTCTTAAGAGCAGATACTTGTTATGGCAACAGTGGCAACTCCAAACTCTGAAGAGATTTCTTAGGGTAAGACCCTGTGCACGTGTTCAAGGAAACAGGATTCAGCTTTCAAGGAAAATAAGAGGGTGAGATTTATTTACAGACACACTGCTGAGTAGCCTTTTGCTCTATAAAGCAACGAAACCAGCAATACTATTACACAGAGAACCACAACAGTCATCTGATTTGCTGAAGATATTAAAGGCCTTAAACTAATGAAATTGGCATAAAATCAGCCCCTTGAGAGTTTGTTATATGGTACATAAACATGAAATACAAGCAAAATTGTATGTGTAGTTGTTTGCCAGAAAATAGAAATCGCCTTTATTTATTTTGGAACACAAACTGACCTGGTACTAAATGCATATTAGCGTTAAAAAACCTGTCAGTATGTTAAACTGAAATGTATGCAGGCTGTGTCCCAAAACTGTTGCAATACAGAACATTTTCTTAAGACATCTGCAAGGTAGTCATAATAATAATGACTAAGTTTATGATGCTAATACAGATCTAAATATAAACAAGTACTTATTTTTAAAATACGAGAGGCCTTCCCAGGTATACTGTGGGGTTAAAGAACACACACATTTTTGGAAAATACATATGCAGATGAATTAAGCTATAAAATGTAACCTGTGTAGGATAGTGCTTTAAGTTTTCCTCATAATGGTAGCTCAAGGCTGGTGATCCTGACTCGAGGTGTTAAAAAGGCAAGCAATATGGCAGGGACAACTAGCTTCCAGAAGCTTTAATTGCAAGTATGCATATTTGATCACGGCATAAACAGTTTTAACTCACCTCTTACTTGGTTTCTGCAGCACAAGCATAACATTCTCCAATAACATCTTTTATGTGACTCAAAAAAACCTGAAGGAACAGGTGTCCAGCTATCCTTAACAGATGACAGGCACTTCTAGGCCTTTTTTAAAGGAAATCAGATATTATATCCTTTTTCAGTCACACTGCATCTAGGGAGATGAAACTTTGGATGACAGGCTGGACAGAATAAGCAAGGAAAGCACTATTCGAAGAAGGTATGGGATGGAAACATCTGCTTGGTAACAACCAGTATAAAGCGTATTTTTTCCTGAATAACAAGGAAAGAAAACCCTCTCAAGGTAAAAAAAAAAGATGACAACATACCAAGTACTAACTATGTTTATACCTGAAGCCTAATGCATAAGGGAGCACAAGTGAAAATGCACAAGAAAATTCCTGCTTTCTGCAAGGGCAGTTGACAAGGAGCTGAGGGAAGGAAAAGTCAGCTCTGCCCTACCTAGGTAAGTAATGGCAAGAAAGTTGTGAGAGGTGCAAGTCCAACTGGCTTGCTAACTACCGCTGGCAAAGTTCCTCTTGTGCAACTGGTGTAGGACAGAAAAATGAAGAAAAAGGTAATTAACAAGCTTCCCAATATGTATCTGTAACAAGTTAGCATCACTCATAAATTTCAGAGCAACAATAATGAAGTTTACCAAGACTGTAGGAATTGTTCTTTCTCTTTCCTCCCGTGCGGTGTCACGGCTCTCTTGGAAAAACAAACAATTATAAGGCTGCAGTAAATGTCTTTTTTATCAAACACTTCCCTGCTTTGCTTTGTTTTCTCTAGCTCTTCAACAGAAGTTCAATTCATGTGTGCTATTGCCTGCATCTGACAGGCTCTAACTCACTCTTACCAGAGAAGTAAAAACAGGTAGAAAACCCTGCATGTGTAGGAGATTTCTGTCATTAATAAAAGCAAAGGTAAAATATAAACTAGACACATTAACTGGCTGAAAGAGAAACAAGATGATAGGAAGGTTTTCACCACTAGCTATCTTCCTTTCCAAGAAGTTCATGTTCTGAGATTTCCTGTAACTGTGCTGGATACAAGAGAAGGAAGACTGCTGTGATATCTCTTATGAGAGAAATCAAGTATATTGAAGACCTCACAAAGTCTGCTATGGATGAACTCTTACATTTCTTCAAAACAGTATGAAAAACTACCCAGAATTTGCAACGAACAAAAGGAGAAAAAGGGAACCCATCCCAAAGGTTTTCTGAGGTAGCCAAAACATTTTATGAAGGGTCATGCTGTAGACACCTGAATGTGTAGCTAAACTGATTGTGATTTTGCAAAGGAAATTAAAATCCACAGCAAACCACCATTAGATAAGGAAATAAGGAAATAAAGAATAGAAAGGGAATGTAATGAGTACATAGCTGAAATAAAAGTATCTAGGTGTGACAGAAAACCGCTTTGCCTCAGCGTTGGGGGGGGAACCAGCGGTGGCAACCATGTGCAACACGGTGCAGAGAATGAATGGTAAAAAGGCACAGTCTGCAAAAGAAACACTCAAAAATCTTAACACCACAAACTCTGAGGGAACTTGCAGTCTCCCTACCAGAATTCTGAGTGAAACAGCACATCAAATGCACATCGGGCAGAAAGGATTTTTAAGAAATGCATCAAAATGATGCACTGTATCAGATACGGACTGCAACCTCAATATACTTTTTCCACCTCTCAGGGAACACAGGTTCCTCATTCACTGCTTGCATGAACATAACAGTAGAAGGATTTTGAACAGAGTATATGAACATTTTGCCCTCTTCCTCTCTGGAAAACTCACAGCAGCCCACTTGTTTATCCTCCAATAAAAACAAACAATTGCATGAAACTTCTGACTGGGTGAATTCTTTTCCACTCTCCTTGGTGCATTTCTGTTAGGATGTTTATATTACTGCTTCAGCTATCAGTAGTTATTATTCATTTGAACTCATTACTACTTTCCACTGTGTTTAATATCCTAATGGGATATTATTAGTTGTTACTTCAATCCAGCTGTCTCATATTCATCAACAAACTATACTTTCACATAGAAGCCCTTTTTTTTTTTTAAAGGCATTCTAACATCAGTTTTAACACTATGAAACATTTAATACCTATTGTCTCAAGAACTGTCAACCTTCTTTCTTACTATTTCACATGGCAGAATTCTTGTCTCCAATTCTACTGTCTACCCTAATCTATTTACATCACAGCAGTAGCCTGATTAAAACACTATCAAGCTCACAAAGCCTCTACAATTTCACAAAAATCAGATGCTTCAAAAGTCAAAAAGCGACAGAAGAATGTGGACACTAATAAGCACATGCAGCTGTATGCCCTGGATCAAATATCTGATGATTTCGAATCAACAGCTACCACTGGATGAATTAATCCTTGTGAGTGAAACAATGAAAAGCATCTTAAGGGAAGCACCCCGCAGTTCCAGGGGCATTTCTATTACAGCTCATCAGTGCAGCTCACCTTCCACTACTTAGTTGCTCTCAAGTGCTATTCATATTATACCTGCAGGACTGGAATGAATGTTTTATGCATCTATGGTTAAGATTAGACGTGGAAAAGCGTATCTGATAATCTGCATTAACAACAGTATTTGGCAGCATTTTACAGTTTGGAACTCTATTTTTAAAAACATCCTCTCTGTGTAATTACATGCTTGAAATGCTTCCTGAGGGACTGATCTGGAGAGCTTCTGATTTTACTTTGATGCTGAAAAATCACCCCCTGTGAATCAGTGTCCTTGTTCATTTACACTTCTCAATTATATTTAGATCAACAGTTTCTTTCCCTGATTCAGCCTTGCCGTCCCCTGTAATCAGCAACGCATTGGTCCCTGGCATTGTATCAGTAAGCCCCTATAAGTTGGCAACAGAAGACTTACTTCCTCACCTTGGCTGCTGGGGTAACAGCGTATGTCTGAACCACCACCACCAGATTTACTAAAGCTCCTTACAGGCAGACCGAAATGAAACTGGCATTGTCTGGAGTGTTTCTAATTAGAAATGCAAATACATCCTTATTCAAAAAATGAATGCCCGGGTCTTCCCAGCACTCTCTGTGCTGGTAGTCAGTATCTCTAAGGGATAGCTGAGTATCATTTAACCAAACCCCAAAAAAACCCTCTCACGGGAGCGTCTGAATAATGGTATTAAATAAGTGGAAAGCTGCATATGTCCTTTTTAATGAGTTAAGTGTTATTTTTTATCTCCTGAGCTTTTGTCAGAACTCTACAATTGCCAGGCTGTTGAATACATTCAAATACCAGTGAATACACTTCAAGCCACATTGATTTCTCAGGCAAACACACACGTTGTGTAGGATCATGGGAGGCAGGCTCTTCTCCCATTGGTCCTAACTTCTTCAGTTCAGAGGAGGAGTATCTGCTCTTTGCTACCCAAAGCTCCAGGTACAGCCAACAATTTCTGATACTTTGGTTTTTCTTGCCTTGTCAGATTGCCTTCTCACAGTTTTAAGTTCTCCTGAAAATGCTCTGATGTCCTGAACTATCTTAGAAATGAATATTCAATAAACAACTTACCCGAATCATCATGACTGAGCATCTGATGTTATGGATTGTGTCATACACCTTCTTAGAAATGTCCACAAACTGGTTATCATCGAACAGATGCACTGTGTTCTTGCTGAGGCTCTCCAGTGCAATACTGACTTGAGAAATGAACTCTGGAATCACTATTCAAAAAAGAAAAGAAAACACAAACCAAATTCAGTGAGCATAAAAAGCATAAAACATGTCATTTTTCTTTCTGGAAAATTCTCTCGCACTGATTAAAACTTTATTTTTTAAAAGCATTATAGTAGTAACACAGTTTTAAGCGGGAACACATTTGTAATTCTTAGCACAGTGATAGAAAAGCTCTCGGTGTGCATGCAAGCTGTGGATGGTTATGCACTACAACAAAGAAGGGGAAAGCTTCAAAGGAGGGGTTGGGGAAGCAGTTGCAAAAACTTGCCAGTTATTTCAACAGTACTTTTACCCAAAGAATCAGGATGAATAACCTGTTGGAGAGACTATTAAACAGACTCTGACTATTGCAGAATCAGCTTTCAGTCTGAATGGAGACAAAACTACCAAAGATGGGTCCCACAACTGTAACCTAGACTGACCAAGGCAGTTTACCTTGTTAGATTGAATCAAACAGATTATAAATTTTGAGCCAGTTTGATATGAACCCAATCTTTACCCAGAATGTCCTCAGCATTTTCTTTGGTGCTCCATGGCCTAATTTTGCATGGTGACCTGGTACCACTGTATCTCACTTGATCTTTCACACCAATTTGAAGCAAAGGAAACCCAACACACAAAATACAGAGTAAAGAAAGAATGCAGAGAGAAAACCCATCACACACAGAAGGACCTCAAACAAGTACAGATCAACCTCATTTGCAACAGCTCGTTTCCTACTACCTGAAGAGCAAAGACACCGAATGAATGAAAAGTGAAGGGATAGAACTCAGATTGTAAAATATTCAGTATGAGTAACATAGAGCTTGTGTTGGTTTCAAATACAAGCGTAGTATGCTTTCCATCCCTTCCTCCACACGTAGGTGCTGTGTAATTCATAAATACATACCACTCGAAAGCTACACGACCAATACCTTCGGTATGAATCATTTCAGGCAAGCTTTAAAGAATACAATAAATTTGTATGCAGACAAAGCTTCAGCTGAAGTCAACAGGACTTCAATTAGAAAATCCAGCAACATACACTTTCCTGATATTTAAAGATTCACCCATAATGCTTGAACTCCTAACTTTACATGGAGAAATCCACGTAACCCTAACATTTAAATTCACATGCCAGTACCTTCACAGTCTTAGAGTTCAGCTGTTTCTCTCTAGAGCGCAGAACACTTACTGCACGTGTCAGTTCTGAGAAATAACAAACTTCAGGTAATTCAGTGGGAGTGGGAAAGTTCATTTAATTCTGTAAAACAGGTCTCCACAAGTGTGAAACAAGCAGATGCCATTTAATTTGAAAAATAGGGTATGTAAAATTGTTTCTTCCCTCTTCAGCTTACCACTTGAATTACTTTGCCTTCTGAAAAGGTCAGTGGGAAGAACAGATTTCTTAAATGCTATGGGAAAAAGTCAAGGTACATTTTTCATTAGCGACCTAATGTAGTAATTAGGGAGAACAAGTACCTATTTATTTTGTGCTTTTTGAATTTATATTTTTTTAAGAAACAAATACAGAATTTTAGAACATAATTTTTTTTTCTTCTGTTTAACAATGATCTTGGCCTCTAGATTATCAAAATAACTGCAAGTGTGGCAATTTTGAAATACGCAGTCACCTCATACGTTTACATAAAATTAAACGTTCAGCTCATGCACTGTAAAAATGCTGCAAAGGATTTTACACAAATACGTACTTATAGCTTGCATGCTACTGGTGGAGTCAGCGTTAAACCACGGGCTGCACTTGGATTACGATCTCAGTGGTTTCCCCCTGGTAACGTTTTTAAGATGGTTGCTTTTCACCAATATGATTTTACACACAGATGATTAAAACACAAGACTAAACTCTAACTATAGAAAACATACATAACAATCTGCTAATGAAGTATAAAAATACACTCAGGCTGTTACAAGGGTATCAAATAGTTCTTATTATTCAATCATTTACCCTATATCTGATTAGATAATTCTCTCAAATTTCAGACTCCTTTCTTGAGTATACGTGACTGACTTAAATTTTGATTTCCCAACAAAATGACTACTTAAAAATAGGTTCTGGTAGACATATGAGGTCTTATCCATGGATCACTGGCATCAAATATACTTGAATTCATTCACCCCCAAATGGTTTGGGCAATGCCCTGAAACACTGCATTAAGTGGCCTAGAATTACATTAATAATGTGCATCTTTGCTGTATTCGGATTTATTTTTCCAGGTGCCTCAATGCAGAGAAGTGGATGCAGGTAAAAGCAGGTTGGACAAGATTAATTTTTTTTGAACCTTTCAAAGGCAAAGAAAAATTAAACACGTAAGGAAAATGAAAAATTTCAATAGTTATACAATTGAGAAATATTGTTAGATTCTTGTGGTTTTAACATTTCTGAAAGTCAACATTGTAATTTTTACTTGAAATTTTGCTTGGGTTTTTTTTCAACAGGAATTAGGAGCAAATTTTAAAATGAACATCTATAATCCTGCCTTTCTTCAGGGGGAAGGTGTGGAAAGGAGGAGGATGTTTTCAAAAATACCAATAATGCTCATAATCATAATGTTGAAAGTCCCCAAACTAATTTACAGATTTCATGCCGCCAAAAACATTTCTTGAAATTAAGCTTATTTATTTTAAAATTCACCATGTCTTCCCTAACTCCTCTCGTTTTAAATAAACAATACTATTTGTCTTTCTTAGACATCTAATAATTTCTGCTTGATTTTGACATCTTCAACCAAAACCAATTAATGAATCCTGTTTGTAGTTTGACAGATGTCATAGTCCATCTCTTCACCCAGAGGCTACCACATCTGTACATCACAATGACATCAGGTAGCATGGAAAAGGAAACTTCAATTATCAACTTTGTGTGTTATTTTTAGTAACAAAATCAGCAGGACAACAGGTTTTCAGCTTTGCAGGTGGTCAGTGACAACATGTGAAAATAAGAACCATTCTACTTGCACCTTTTAATGAAGTTGTGATTAACTGCACTTCATCAGCAATCAAGATAGCCTGATACTGAAAAAGCAACACTCTCCACAGCTGAAGTGTCAACATATATGCAACATTCACCTACAGAATGCCTTAACAAAATGAGTATAACTGACATGGAGAGACACGACCTCCTAGAACTGATCCAAAAATAACAATGATAACTTCCCCTTCACCCTGGCCCATTCAAAATGTTTATGGTTTTCAATTGTGGGAGGGAAAAAAAAAAAAAAGAAAAAACCCTAACAATACCCATTTCATTTATTTGATAAAGACATGAAAAAACAGATTGCTTATTTTTCACCAGTCTTATACTGAGGTATTGCAAATAAGACTATTTGGTATTCTGATATCTCTGCAGAATTATCCCCAGGTCCCATCCCTTGTGCTTATGTTGAAATGTACAGGCAGGGTATGGTTCTCCCCCTCAGTTCCTCTCATCTCAGAATGCCACAGTTTCTCAAGGATGTCAGGAGAGAGCAAAGTGGTGGATTACTGAATGAACAGATACATGGTCTATCTCCAAAAAAAGAATTTGTGGCAAATGACCAAACTTTCACCTTCAGTGATTATCTCTAAGTATAAACACTCTAAGCAACTTACTGTAAATAGACTGGAAAAAGGTTCAAGAGCTCCCACTAGAATGAAGTCTGAAAAACTACTCATTCAAAGGCAGGTCTGAAATGGAAATGGCACACAGTGCACAGATGAGTGAAGAAAGCCTCTGGCAGACCTACAGATCCCAGCTACAGTAGACTCTGCAAGACTGCCACAGCCATTGCTTGAACTGAAATTCAGTGATCTTTCCGCAAAGCAGAAGACTCTTGTTGGGCAGTCAGCCATCCAGAGGCATCCTCTGCAGCCAAATAAAAGAGCCATAGGACTGTTGGGTAGGAGATATGAAAACATGAGCAGCATTCCTAAAACGTTTGTCTTGACAATATACAAAAATAGAGAATACCCAGAGTGAATAAAAAGTTTCAACTAACAAAGCATGCAGAATAAATCACATGAAGGTTAGTACCTAAAGTGAACCTTTAACATCTGAGTGAAGACTGCAGAATTTAACATGAATGGCATTAGGAGGACTTGTTGTCAAGAACAGGAATCTTCCACAGTTAGCTGAAGCAATTGCTACGCAAAAGGCTTTTTTTTTTTTTTTTTTTAATATGTGAGCAAGACTGCGTGAAAAAATGGGTTTCCTCCTGAGGATAATAAAATCAGGGTCATTGATGAATTAGGATTCTAAGAGGAGGACAAAGCCCCACGAGAACTTAAAAAAGCCTGCCAGAAGACAGATTCTAAAAAAGTAAGCAAAAGCCAAAAGCCTGGTCATGTAAAGCCTATACAGGCACTGAATTAAGCTCATATGAAACTATTCAAATTTGCAGGTAGGCAAATTGAGATGAATGCAACTTAGACCTATACCAACCCACATGTTTCAACCACTAAGCTTAATACCTTCTTTCAGCGCACTCTATTAATCAGCCTCCAAGCAGGAAAGAATAGCCCCACCAAAATGTTTAACACCATCCACCATTTGGCCAGTAAGATGGCAAAAACCAGAGGCTCTGGTCTTGATAATGACCTTGGTTCATTGCAAGATCATCTGTGCTGAGAAAAAAAAGTATTAAAAACAAGTATTAAAACCTGTTCAAACACACAATCACACAGTTGTATTTAAAAGTGTTTTACCATGTTCTTCATTTTGTTATTTACCCTTTCATCAACTGAACAATTTATATCTCTATATTTAGTTCTCTAAACAAAAAACATTTTTCCCAGAAGGGCGCTGAATTTCACTGCTGGACAACATGAGAGTATTTTTTCATAGCCTATACAACAAATCCACTGATCACTGATTCTGATTCCATTTTTAAAATGCCTTCTACATTCTAAACACCACACCTAATTATTTGAAATACACTGGTTTTCTATTAAACCAGTTATCGCAGAACCAATTACTTAGTATCCTCTGCACATTTAATCATGTTCTTGGCTC